CACACACACACAACCAAAGGTTTCAGGGAATGTGCTAGGGACTATTCATTTGATTTTAAATGTTACTTTAAAAGATGTTAGAAGAGTATGTCTTTAGGTTATTTTTTTACCATGTGCTTTATTAATAAAACCCTATTTTATTATGAACATTGACTTGTCCTTAGATGCCCTTAAATATTATGTTTTTGTGGCCAAGTATTTTCTCTTAATATCCACATCAACATATAGATGCTAGAAAATGTGTCCTTGTGTGATTGATTATCCGATCGGGAGAAATTGCCTATCCAACAATATGTGCTGAGTGGTCTCCTTTTCCTGTGTCCCACTGCTGGCTTTCTGCTTTGTCCTCTTGGATACCGGAAGGTACTACCTCTGCTTACAACTGCGAGATGACATCGTGTCCGGGAGGCTGCCCTGCTCCTTTGTCACCCTTGCCCTGTTGGGCTCCTACACTGTCCAGTCAGAACTTGGAGACTATGACCCTGATGAATGTGGAAATGATTACATTAGTGAGTTCCGCTTTGCACCCAATCACACTAAAGAACTGGAAGATAAAGTGATCGAGCTGCACAAGAGTCACAGGTTAGTGGCAGAAGCCCTGAGAACAGTCCATTTAATAAGTTGGGCCTTGATGAGTGAGCGTCCCTTTCTCTCCGCACTTTTCCCAGAACTGATGTTGGTGTTTTGTGGGTGGGACTTTAGTAGAGTAGGGGTCTGCACTGGCTGGTACAGTTCTGGGATAGTTAGGTTCTTGCTTAGAATGTCTATTGTAAGGTTTTCTTTAAAAGCCATCTTATTCTTTTTCTTCCCTCAGATACAGATCTGCTGGGCCTCTGTGGGGGCTTGCTTATTAGGTAGCAGGGGGGCTAAGTAGGAAACATTTCAGCTTCGCCAGGTAAAAGCAGAGCAGCATTGTAACCCTTTCTTTTCTTATCAGAGGAATGACGCCAGCAGAAGCCGAGATGCATTTCTTGGAAAATGCCAAAAAATTATCCATGTATGGGGTAGATTTACATCATGCCAAGGTATGCATTTCTTAACCCCCAAACTTTTTATTTAGTTTTATTTAATTCAGTGCTGTTATTGCTATAAGCTCGTGATTTTTACTTCAGTGCATGTAACCCAAACCTTTGGGCATTCAAATCTGCGTTTGCTCTTTAAGGCCTGTCCAATGATAAAGCACATTTCGCGCCGATATTTCACTGAGGGGTTGGCTCAAACTCACAGGACTCGCGGTCTGAGCCTCTGATTGCCTGTTGATTCAATTGGAACTTTTTATCTTTACATAACACGCTCTGAGCTCGCCCTGCCTTTCCTGTCTCAGTTGTATCTCCCACTTTGCGCTGGCACATGCCCTTTGCTCCTGCCAAACCCTGTCTCTGGCCTTTGCCTGAATGTGCTCATTTTTGCCTGCACTGTCCTGCTCCTTACTGTCTGTCTGTCTGTCTGTCTGTCTGTCTAAACTTGGCTGATTGTCCAAGACCCAGTTGTCACATCTACTTTGTGTGAAGTACTGTCTGTGGCCCTGTTCTAATTTCCCACCAGACACTCAGTAAATTCATGTGAAGTTTAAATAATGCCATCTCTGAAGCTGAGGTATTCTGACAAATAGCCAGTCCTTTGAAATAAGATTGTTATTTTTGCAGTTCAACTAGAATTAACCACCCAGGCTAAGGCTTGCCTGGTTGCTTGGCAATTGTGAAATGTTAAAGTTGTGCCTTGGCTATTTAGTCTTGGGAAGAAGGAAGTTGGGATTAGACCAGCCGTGGGCAAACTACGGCCCGCGGGCTGGATCCGGCCCGTTTGAAAAGAATAAAACTAAAAAAAAAAAAAAAGACCGTACCCTTTTATGTAATGATGTTTACTTTGAATTTATATTAGTTCACACAAACACTCCATCCATGCTTTTGTTCCAGCCCTCCGGTCCAGTTTAAGAACCCATTGTGGCCCTCGAGTCAAAAAGTTTGCCCACCCCTGGATTAGTCTGTATGAGGGGGAGATTGTAAGGATGCCTAAAGCAGCTTTTACTCCATGTCATTCTTTTTCTAGAATCTGTATTTTTCAGCAGTGAGAGAATGAGTGCATGAACTATTAGTCTGTTACTTGAACACCTGTGAATAAAGAACTGTAGCAGTAAAGGCAAGCGTTCATGCAAACTGTTATCATCAAAACTTGAGAAATTTGTTAGGATCTTAGGGGTGGATTCTGGTACTTCAGCAGTGTTGAAAGATCTCTGACAAGGTAACATTGCTCCAGTTATGGGATGTGCCTTTACTTCTAATACACAGAGTAGCCACCAATTTCACGATCTGGGACTCACAGGAAGTTAACAGGCTTCTAGTCAAGGAAGTATCTTACACAGTCAAGTTCAGGGCCAAGGCATGAAGAGCATTTCAGCTGGCTCTGTTCAGGCAAACAGCTCAACAACCCTGAGTCCCATGGGAGGGAAATCTATGGTCTGTACGTTCTATTGATGCTACAGGTGAGCTGCTCCCTGGATGGCGTTTGGACCAGAAAATGGTGGCCACTGAGTGAACGCAGGCTTGACTGGTTATGACTGTGACCATTGTGTCCCCCAGACAGGATGTGGACTTCCAAGGGCTGAAGGCCTGAGCACTAAGCAGCATGATCTCCGAGGGTTGGCGGCCTTATCCCAGGGCTGGGTTGGTGCATCGTGCCAGGCTCTTTGACATTTGTGTGTAATTAGCAGGTCTGGCTCTTATTTACCTTCCAGTTTATTAGCTTTTCTCGCCTATTTTGTAGTCAGAGAACAAAGGCGTTTTATAGTTTATGCCAGCTATAAGGCAGGATGAGAATTTAAAAAGAAAATAAGGACACACACACTAGTAAGATGTTATCTTAAGAGTTTTTCCTTAGGTGACTAAAAGATAAGGAAACAAGAAGGAAATGAAGGTTGCCTGAAAATGTGAGTGGATCGAAAGCTATTTTTTGAATTACATTGCACATGATGATTCACTTGCTGCCCAGGAAATATAAATAAATGAGAGATTAGGGCATGCTTTTAGGGAAGTGCAGCTCGGGATGTATCCGTGTTCCCATCATTGAAAATAAAATCACTTAACGTTGCTCTAGCTACTGAATTAAAATGGATAGCTGCAATAATATGATTTGAATTTATTCCAATTAAAAAAAGAAAGAATTAAGGAAGTGCAAATGCAGCCCGTAGAAGGATTTCATCTGAATATTAAGTATAACAAATGATTTGGTTATGGACTCCATTTTCTCATGCAGCCACACTCTATCATTTTAAGAAGGAAAATTACTGAATTAAATTAGAGCTCATTTCCAGTCATCACTGGATGGCATAAAAGACCCTGAGCTGTAGGATCTGTTTAGAAAGTCTGAATTGTGATCTCTAACTCAAAGCTCTGTATAAAGAATACAATACCCGTATTAGCTGGAGGTCCCTTGTTTGGGAAAACCTGTTCTAAATGCTTTGTTTTCTTCTTAGGAAGACTCTCTCTGCTTGTTTGTCAGCTAATGTCTGTCTGAATAGGCTCTGTGAGAGTCATTTATTTCATAGAAGATTCTAAAATGTAGGTATAAATCCACATCAGATATCCCATGGACCAAGTGATAATGAAGGAAGGCAAAGTTTAAACAGTGATTTGAAATTAAGGGAACAGCGTGCACATTTATTTTAATTACAGTAGACTGAGCCTATCCAGGTCTTCCTTCGGTACTCCCTGCTAAAAGGAGCATTAAATGTGTTCGTTGGTAGGGAAACACACATGTCCCCAAGATAGGCTGCCAAACGAGCTTTCAATACACAGTTAGGGCTGTGGCCGAAAACTTGAGAAAAAAGGTATCTTTTTTTTGTGCTTTATGATTAACATAATGAAGACCACCATGCAATTTAAAACGCCACTTACCTGATATTGTCTTTCTTCATTTGCCAAACGTGTAATGGCTTAATTAACCCATGCTAGGCAGGCACTAGCTATGACCATGTGGCTGCAGAGATTAAATTGAGCTCTTGCTCTCAACCAGCTGTGGTCTTAAGGAGAAGGCAGGTAGGTGGGAGTTGACTGCAGTACCTTTGCTGGGGGCGTGCTGATACAACAGAGTGATATGGGGACACAGAGCAGTTCATGCCGGAGGGTACAGGAGAACAGTGCGGGGCAAAGGAGCCTTCCCAATCTTCCCCAGGAAAGGATGCTGTTTTCTTTGATGGAAAGACACTGATGAGAGATTTAAAAATAGATAAAATACTGAAAAATGTTTGAAATGTCCTTTCCCTCTTTAGCTCAAAGGCATCTTTTCTAAACTTTTATGTTCTTTACCAAAAAGAAAGAGAATCAAAGAGCAGTTACTCAAACCTGCATTTGTAGTCATGGCGTGAGGTGGTCACCTCTGAGCTGTCGTGTGAGCAGATGGGCTGGGTCTGAAGGCTCAGTAATGCCAGGGACTCGTCAGCATCAGGTTATAGCTCTTTAAATTGCTCTTTCACATTAAAGCCCGTGGTAGGTGGTGGGCAGTTTCTGGACTTGGAGGCCTCAGGTTTTATGTCCTGCCATCAAGTGTTTCCACGCCTGTAATTTCATACCTAATGGAGCGATAGATTTCAAAGGTAAAATGTTTTCTTTTAAACCAATTATAAACATATATGACCAGAGATGGACTGAAATATTTATTTTTTGCTTCTGGAAATGTTCATCTTGGACCTTGCACTGACAGGATTTAGGCAGTAAATTCCCACAATATGGACGAGTCAGAATCTCCTATTTGGGTTCTACCATTTTCCTCTCTGGGGCTGCAGAGTGACTCAAAGTTGGGGGCAGCCCTGCTGATTAAGGTGACAAAAGACCCCAGCTTCTTCCCCCCATCCCATGTACCCCCTACTCCCAACAACCATCGAGACAAGGTGGAGGCTGCGCCTCACACGCAGTCCTGCCTCTGTCCTTCGTTTTCACTCCACTCGGGTCACCACAGATGTTCATTTTACATGGATTCCCCCTGAATACAATACTGAGGGGGCATAGACTATGCGTGGTGTGTCTCTTAAACTTTATATAACATCTCTGATGACCTCGGGGACCTCTGGGCATCACATACCCCTAGGAAATGACTTAAATGTGAAAAGTACAAATAACAAAGCAAATTGCAAATGTGGCATGATCCCACCTTTGTTATAAAAGACTATACACATATATAAAATCTATCCATATTTATGTGAATCATATTGTTAAGTGTGCTTACCACTGGGCAGTGTGTGTGTTGGGGCCTGTTGGGGAAGTGCAGTACATACTTAAGAGAAAAACAACACTATTTTATATTTAAATTTTACTCTGGCAATAATGGTATATAAAAAAGATTGAGGCTCTTTTTAAAGGAACAAACTCCAAAACACTCATAAGAAAGGATAGGGCCCCTCTCTTAGTATACATATTGGTTAAGAGTGCTGCCTCTGTAACCAGGCTGCTCACATTCAACTGGGGAAGATACGTAACCACTCTGTGGCTCAGTTTCCTCATCTGTAAAGTGGGAAGAATAATAGCAACTATCTCAAAATATCATATTGAAAATTAAAAGGGTTAATATATGTAAAGTATTAGGGCAGTGCTTGGCACTCAATAACCGAGAACTGCAGCTGTTACTTATGTTAACAACACACCTTCATCGGGTTGGCCTGTTCTATGTGCAGTATTTCTGGATATCCTGGATACCTGGGTGAGCAGGCTTTACTCTAACAAATCTCCACAGTGATAAATATCTTCATTTCAAGGCTGTTGTTTAATGGTAATGTTTAAAAATGGCTGCAGTATTTTTCTTACTTAAATTAGACCTTCAGGTAGTCAGTTATAGATTCTGTTATGGAGGCTTAAATACTGTACCCAGCCGTAAGTGGAAACAAATGAGATACTGACCCTTGGTCTCTTGCTTCTATTTTCCAGGATTCTGAAGGAGTAGAAATTATGTTAGGCGTTTGTGCGAGTGGTCTGTTGATATATCGAGACCGGCTGCGGATAAATAGATTTGCCTGGCCCAAGGTTCTAAAAATCTCATACAAACGGAACAACTTCTACATTAAGATCCGCCCGGGTGAGGTAAGTAGACCCAAATTTGCATGTACATTGGGAAAAAAGGAACCTGATAGCAAACAAATATGTAAATAACCTGCTCACAAGTTCTCAGCATCTCAGGACATGGTTGGTGAGTTATGTCTAAATGCCTAAGAGAATTTATTGTAGGTTTGTCCAACAAATAGGTAGAAACAAGTGTTTTTTGTTTTTTGTGTTTTTTTTCCAGTTTTTCCCATAGCATACATTAATTGAAATTACTGTTTTTACATATTTTAATGTAAAACCCAGATTCATGAATAATGTTCTGTATATTTCAAGCTGTGGTATAAATGAAAGTCTAAGTCATTAAACCTCTTCATGAATGAAAGATTTCTCCCTACCAGTTCTATTGTTGTCTCTATGCTCCCTTTCTCTGTCTTCCAAATCTGACAGCATCTTTTTTTAAATTATATTTTTATTGATTTGGGAGAGAGAGAGAAACATCAATGAGAAAAAAACATCATCGATCAGCTGCCTCCTGCACCCCTCACCCCCACCAGGGATAGAGCCTGCAACCCAGGCATGTGCCCTGACTGGAATCGAGCCAATGACCTCTTGGTGCATGAGTCGATGCTCAACCACTGAACCACACCTGCCAGGCAATCTGATAGCATCTTAAGGTGGATAGTTTAGAGATAATGTGCAACAAGGTATAAGAAAGATTAGAATGAGGGACACAGAGTGTAAATTATGTAAATGTTCCACAACCTAATATATTTTCACCTTTTTTTTTAAATCAGAGAAGTAATGAAAGAGTCAAAATTGTTAACTAATCCTTATTCCTTGGACAACAGCATCTATGATCGACATATTTGTATTATCCTTAGTGGTTTGTACATAATAGGTAGTAAGTACCTGCTATATCTGGTTAATAGATAATTAATAAATATATCCATTTCTGATCAGTATGATTAACATAATGGAAGCAAAGCTCTAAGATTGCAGTTCATTTATGTCTCGGAACATTTTCTGGCATAATATAGAATTATATCCTGTCTTCAAAATCAGCCTACCCACTGGTGGAAAATACAATTAAAATATCAGACTACAAAGCAAGCAATAATGTGTAGTGTATATATAAAGTCATCCTTGTTTCTGAAGACTGAAATAATCTGTAAGCTTTTCACGTAAATACCCGCAATTACAGTAATATTAAAAATATTTCCTAAAGATTGCATGTTAAACTTATAACTGATAAATGTTCATTTGGATTTATTAAACATAAATAAGCAAGCATCTGTTTATTGCTAGGTAACATGTTGGGCATTGGAAATGGAAACATAAATATGAATTTGTCCCTGTCCTTAAGGGACTTTATATTTGGCACAGAAACAGACTCGCACGCTTGGAACTATGTCATGATACCGATGAGATGATATCCGATGGTCATGGAGTGAACACGGTTGTGAGAGGCCAGCAGGGAACAGTGGAGAAGTGCATCAGTAGACAGTAGTGAGCCGAGAAAGGTTTTAAATTAGGGCGTGTCATAACTAGATGAACACTTGAGAATGATGGGTTTCTTAATTAATCTGCTTCGTAATGTGATGTGATAAGACCTAAACTGGAGCAGAGGCTCTGGGAATAGAATGGAAGGGGCACATTTGAGACGGATTTCAGAGGCAGAACAGGACATTTTGGAGACAGGATGGGGGAAGGATAAAGAGGAGAGTCCGGGATGATCAGTCTCAGTTTGCACGAGAGAAGGCAATGGAGATGATATTATAGATGAGAGGAAGGGCGGGGGGTGTGAATTTAAGGAAAAAGATTGAAATTCCTTTGGGACAGATTTTCAGGAGGTAATTCTTACCTAGTAAGAAATACAGGACTTGAACAGAGACATCAACTGTATAAATTTTAATCAGGGCCTTAGACATGGAATAAATTACCCAAAGAACAAGAGAACTTAAAGAGGGAAAAAGAGAGAGAGACCCTATAACAAAAAAATCTGGGTAAGACCACTTTTTGAGAGAGGTAGGCCAAAGAGGAACACAGGGAGATTAAGAATAACAGCCAGAGAAAGGAACAAAGGACAAAAACAGTCACAGATGACAGTGAGACGAGATTCAGGGGACGTGGTTAACTGGCAGTGCCAAATGTTACAGAGAAGGTGCAGGTAAGAACTAAGAAAATTTCATCGCAGTTGACAGGTCCTGTTGTGACATTTAAGAGTTCAGGAAGGAGTTGGGAGCCCCTGGCAGGTTGCAGTGAGGTAAGGAGTGAAGGAGCTGAGGCTTCTCCGCCAGGACGTGTATCGTGAGGAGTGAGAAGATTCTGGCTCAGCAAAACAGGCTCAAAGGAAGTTGTTTCCCTCCCTTTTTTATAATCATATTTATAGGCTGAGAAGAATGAGTGAGAAGAAATTATTGGTAGCCCGAAGACTCTGAAGAGGTCGCAGTAAAAAGAATACAAAGCACCGCGAGCTAGATAAACATTTTAAAAGTCTAGCGCCTCTATTATCTTGAGAGAATCTCCCCAGCTTCTTACATGAGCAAGTTGATGCTTTTTTTTAAACCCCTGACCTTTGCATAATGCATGGCACATATTAGAGGCAGGATGAGTAAATGGGGGATGGTTGAGATACAATCCACAGTACTAGGTTTGTCAGTCGACTGGGTCCATTGGACAGTGGTGATTTTCATGACCACCACTGCACATGAACTTCCAGAGGGAATAAGAAATTGTGAAAGGCAGCTGCAGTTAAAGCAACCTGGATGTGTTTCCCAGTCTCTCCCCTGCCCAGTCCCTCTCAACAAACAAGAAATAGAAGTCAAGCATAAGTGTATCTCACACGCCATGCAGAGGAGCCCTCTCCTTGGTTCTTTGCCACGTAAATGGCTTTTGCTATTGATTATGTCAATAGTCAAGAGGTTTTGTGCTCTTTGGGAAAGGCTTTATTGTTTAAGATGATTGCCCTCTGGTGGCCTGATGCATACTGTCCTCAGAGAATAAAAAATTAATGAGTAGCTGCAATGATATTAAAATAATTACTCGGGAAATCAGATATTCCACCTTGGAAAATCATATGACTGATAGAGTATCACCTGAACTATAAATGCTAAGTAATATGAAAATGTGTCCTCCAAATCCCTGATCTTATATATAATATCGAGAGATGTTACCATTTAGCATGGTAATCCATACTATAATGAACAGATAACATCAGCAATACCTGATACCAAGTCATCAAATACCTAGGATATGTGCATATTTCCAGACCAGATATTAGGAGAAAATGTCGCTCTGAGAATGCTATAGACTTTAAACCTTTTGTTCATTTCTGTATCTTCCATTTGAAGTCATGATGTCATGGAAGAAACAATGAAAATTAGGCTTACATATGAGATCAGGACAAGTTGGTCTCTGGAAGGAATCCAAATATCCTTGTTTGCATTTAGTTTTCGTAAGATCCATACTGATACATAAAACATCTACTATATGCATAATGTAGTTGTCTATACCCGCAGTATTTTAAGGAAATAGATAGTAGATATAAGGAGGTTTTTTTTTCCTTTTTAATGAATGCATGTGTATAGCATGAATTCCACATAGAGCAATTGATTTAGTAAGTAAAGAAAAAAGAGTTGTGAGTGGTATTTTGATTTTTAAAATTATTTGCTTTTCTGTTATTTGTCATTTTAAACTTGATTCTACTCTTCAATGTTTTCTAAATGTAGTTTGAACAATTTGAAAGTACCATTGGGTTTAAACTGCCAAACCATCGAGCTGCCAAGCGTTTATGGAAAGTGTGTGTTGAGCACCATACATTTTTCAGGTAGGTAGAGATCAATTTGCTTTTTTCCTAAGGAAAAAAAATAGAGTGCCTGGCATTACTTATACTGAAAAAGATTGTTGGGAAGAAGAATGTGGAAGCATAGCCTTTCTAAAGTTCCTTCAAGCTCATTGTCACGAGATTTTTTAATAAGAAATCCTAAAAGAACTTCTGACTAAATTCGAATAGGTTTCCTTCATTTGTACTCTATTGATCTGCTCCATCTCCTCTTTATTATCTTTAGTACCTTTTCATTATTTTTGCAGGATGTCTACTTCAAGTGTTCAATCCGTTTCTTACTATTTCAGTAATTTCTCAATACCTGACTAATTAGGGCCATTAGATTTGTGTCTATACAATAACAAATTATCACTGTCCTTCCCTACCATCACCTACTTAATTGCTCTTGGGGCTTATAGAACCACAGACTCTCCAGTTACATGGGATGTTAAAGTCTGCTAGTCCAACCCAACTCCCATTTTGATTATAGCCTCGATAACATCTCTTGTTGATATGTATTGTGTCAATTTTTTTCTTATAAAATCAGATTTATTTCATTGCATTTGGGTGTTAATCCTCTAGTACACAAAGCACTTTACCTTTCAGAACAGAGTAAAAGGGTAGCATTCTCAATATTTGATTTACTATTCTTTCTGGTGTTTTTTCTTCACTATCTTTAGATTGTTGTTACCAGAAGCACCTCCAAAGAAATTCCTTACCTTGGGCTCCAAGTTCCGTTATAGCGGCAGAACGCAAGCCCAAACCAGAAGAGCCAGCGCACTGATAGATCGTCCAGCCCCTTACTTTGAACGCTCCTCCAGCAAACGTTACACCATGTCTCGCAGCTTGGATGGAGGTAGGCATCCCTACCCTGAATACTCTCTAGTGGCTGCCCACTATGGTGAAGCCATCGTGAGCTGTCAGTGAACATAGATCCTCTTGGGTAGTAGGAAATGGAAAGCATTTTCTTCCTGGTCTGTGGCTGACTGGCAAGTTTTAACCATCCATCCTCAAAAACATGTGCCTTTGTGAGTAATGTCTGTGACTTTAGATTTATGTAAGATTACATGGAGAACGAAGAGCATAACTTTCTTAAGCTGGTACCCTGAATTTGGAGAAAGGTTCTCTCGTTCTAAATATGGTAGTCACATACTCTGTAAGGAATCTGGTTTCCTTGCCAACGGATCTTAAATGATTGTCAAGTTTGTCTTAGACGATTTGTTTCAGAAAGAAAACTCTAAGTTAAATGTATCCCTGTTTCTAAAAAAGAAATTATGAATAAAATGTGACTCATCAGTCAGTAAATAATAGCTTCTAGAAAGGATGACAGTCAGATAACAGAGCAAAGGGCTGTAAATTAAATCCTCCTGACGGACTGGGAGAGCATTGTCTATAGATGTTGTCTACTGTTAAGTCAAATGTGTAAGTAAAACAGGGAGAAAATTGCCTAAATAACATGTTTAAGGAATGGCATAATCATGAGTTTTCCACAGGTTTTGTTTTGTGGGATGGTTTTGTATTGTATCTATAGTTACACACAGATGTGCTCTCTGCTACAAGACTTGGCAGCTAGAGGAATACTTAACTAGGAACTGAGCCCTGGCCAGGCCTCCTCTTCTCATTCCAAGCACCTGGAGATTAGTTGTTTTACGAAAGACCTAGCCTGTGCACATAAAGAATGAGACGTTTCTGGCATGTGTGTACGATTTTAATAGTAAGCACAAGCATAAATAAAAAATAAGGATCACCTTCTTCCCTACCGCCCTGCCTCTGCTCACCACAGCTCATGACACCCCAGTGTGGTTGGTGGGGTGACAGACCCCCTGAATCCCCTGATGAAAAAGACTGTATTTTCCTAATGGATGACGTTATATACAGTTTATAGAAGAAGCAAAAATTGTGTTGTTAGTGCTATGTTACATATGTTCCTAGTAAAGTGGAAAAAACACTACCTGGCGTAGGTAAATCCAGACTGAAGTCCAGTTCCTCCACCTGCACAGTAGTTGGTGAATGACTCAAACTCTCCCTGTCTCATCATCCATAAAATGGGAGTCAGGCCACCTCTGACAGGGTTGTTGCAAGACTGAATAAGACATACATCAGAGCACTGTTGCTATGGATGTAATTATAATTATCCCAATAATTATATTGATAATTATCCTACAGGCTTTTGTGAGGCAGCCTAGAAAGTTATTACCATTTGGTATCTTTTAAGAGTTTTCTTTTTTCAGAATATCTAACTTAGAGCCATACTTTTAGAATAAAATGTTGATTAGGACTGTTTCGGGTTGGATTAAGACACTCATATATCCATGTTAACATTGAAGCTTTTCTTTGGCATTGTCTCACTTACTCTTCTTTCTCCTTTAGAGAATCTCTGTAAACTGTATTTTATAAGTTATTGTTAAAGGAGCTTTTGTAGAATCACCCCTTTTCCCCCGAATACCATCCTCTTTGTTCAGTGATGTGTACCCAAGGGAACACATGTGTTATGAATGTTGTTTGCCTCATGACCTTTTGTGTGATAATGATTACTGAGAAGACAGAAGACAATTGTGCAATAAATATACTAATATCATGCTGTCTCTTCCTCCCTGCCCAAAAGTGATGTTAGTATGTGTTGTCTCTCACTCTTTGGGGTTCTGTCAATTCTAGTGTGTTTTCTGGGCTGCTGAGCTGGGGGCCATGGCTGCATGTGGGCATAAAAACTGCTTTTTGCAAAGTTGCAACTTCTATGGAGCCTAGCTGGCCCATTAGGAAACTATATCATATGAGCTTTTTCATCAGTACAACAAGATATAAAATATCTTAGTGAAGGTATTGTCGTGAAATGATTTACTATTAAAAGGATTTCAGAATATTTTCTTACTTTTATATAAATATGAAACCAGATTATATTTTGCCTGTGATTAGCTACTATGTGTTTGAAAAACAGCCTTTATAAGTTTCTGAAATATGGTATTTAAACCTAAAATAATGAGTATCAAATTTTAAAAATTTAATTGTTGTAAGCATCTCTTTCACTAAGACATTTCAGCTGGGATGAAAGGCTGTATCATATATTTTATGTCTGCATGCTTTGCCTTTGCATGAATTTCATTAACAATGTTTGTGTCATTTTCCCCAAATATTAGAGATGATTAAATGTATGCATATCATGGTAGATATGTGTGCATATGTTTTTTTAAAGTGCAGTAGAAATTAAAACATTTCTGCACTTCAGTTATGGAGTTGCCATTGAAACTTTATAATTTCTGCCAAGATGGTTAATTTCGATTATTACCCTTGTGGCTTTTATACTATAGGAAACTTTTCAGACATTATTAATAATAACAGGATGGGGTTTTTTTTAATTTCAGTGCTCCTTGGTGAGTGCCACTTTTAAAAATATGTTCAAAGTCAAGTGTACTAGATCAATGGTCTACTGAAAATATTATTAGTTGTGGAACTTGCCAAGTGTCTGGGGTAACAAGCTCGGTGGCAGCTCAGCCTCCCAGCCTTACACTCACATCTACCTGGCACACATCCTCACCATGGAGCCTGAGAATGGATGAAACGATTCTGGTGGCTTCAAGAGATGAGCATTGAAATCATTTTGAAACACTAGTGTAGAGGATATAGAAAGTTGAGTCTGTGCTAGCGCTTAGACAAAGGTACCTGCTGTGCTGGCTTGTCTTTTGAAGATAAAGCTGGATTTTTCTAGGGGCATATTGTGCGTGATGGGACAATTGGTGCTATTCATCTGTCTTCTGACTTAACTATTTCAGACTTTATTTCTTCCATTGTATTTGCTTTTAGCATCAGTGAATGAAAACCATGAAATATACATGAAGGATTCTGTGTCTGCTGCAGAGGTTGGTACTGGCCAGTACGCCACAACAAAGGGCATCTCTCAGACCAACTTGATCACCACTGTGACTCCGGAGAAAAAGGCCGAGGAGGAGCGTGATGAGGAAGAGGACAGACGGAAAAAGGCCGAGGAAGCCACTGCTGCCGCGGCAGTACGGCCCGAGGGAAAGGTACTTCTCCCAGGCTGCCTCCTAGAGCTCGCTCAGACTTCTGAGAGCTGCCGAGTAATGCTGAGAGCATAAACCAGGAATGGTGGAGACTTAGGCTAATTCATCTTTCAGCCTTAGTCACATTCTTATTATCAAATTTAAATGATTTCCTTGGTCGACATTTTTCCTCTGGAAGGATTCCCTTTCAACTTTTTGAGCATTTTTATTCTAACCACTGATGTGCTACATAAGACTTTCAATAGCTGTCCTGTCTGTATTTTTTTAAAAAATACATTTAATGGTGATTTACACTTTTCCGTTTGGGCTCATTGGTCAGAGCTATCGCTAAAGCTGTTTGTTTCTGGCCCCATTCTCCTACCCAAGGAGTGCATATTTTTTCAAGATACGCAGTGTAATGACATTGCCATTCTTCTGACTGCAAGTAATGGAGTGACCATAGCTTGTGTGTTTATACAGTGTTTCCTCTCTTAGCCTTATGATTATAATCTAATCATCAGAGTAGCGAGTGGGCATGTTTTAAAAAGTGATAGTAAGGCAGAAGGTTGCCAGGGAAGTTGGAAAGTGAATTTGGCAGCAACTTCTCCAAGGTGTTTTTTATTTTTTATTTTTTCATTAAATTTTGTAACTTCATTTCACCCAAATTCAATTTGTTTTTTAATATTATCTTTGTTTTTGGTGATCCAGCTCTATACAGCAACTTTTTAGAAAAATAAAAGTCAAAAGCCATATAGACCATCCACTTCTGCTTAGGGGTTTTGTATGTAGCAGAGCTACTCCCTAAAAGTCAGAAAACATTGGGAGGCTTATACATAATAGCAGCCATGGGAAGGAGTGGCTCCTGCCATGTGCTCAGCACAGAGTGAAATGAGATAACAGAATAAAAATGCTGTATAACTTACAGCTGTGTTAAAACCTGTGTAAATTTAATGTGGAAATCTTTTGCACGTGGGCTCTTTAAATATAGATTTATTTGCAGGGACTCACCCTCTGGGACTCTCTAGAGAAAACTCCTTTGGGCAAGAATTTAACAGTGACAGCTAAAAGGGTATACTGATCAAAACTGATCGTTGTTGTAGTTAGTTGCGTTAGGAAATTCAAAGACCCAGTCCATCCTTTCTGCAGGATAAAATTATTTGCCAAACAGAAAAAATAAAAACAGGATAGGAAATGATAGCAAAAAATGTTAGGATCACTTGTGCTGTTCAAATGTACTTGGTTCTGGGTTTTGCTTTTAGACTTTTCGTTTAAGTCAAGGCAGGTTTTAAATAGGACATGAAAAGAAGATAGTATACCTGAGCAGCAAATGTGTTGCATGCTTTGTTGAAAGCACCCAGGTAACATGTGCTTGTTATGGACGTGTAAACAGGATTAAGTGGCACAGAAAAGTAAATTACTTGCTTTGATCCAAAAAAAAATAGATCCAGGCAATCTCACTTTGATTTTAAATATCAGCAATTTGTTTACAGGAAGTGCAGCGTGAAGCAGTCATCACTTTGTGCACTTATGCTGTGGGAAAGTAAAATGACAGAGAAAAGCAGGGCTCTCGTAGTCTGAGTCTCTGAGAAGCCAGTACTCTGGCCCAAAGCGCTCCCGAAGGGGGCTGTGGCCGAGACGCAGTGCCGATGCAGGTGGATGTCTGTCCTCATCGTCCACAGTGCGCAACTGTCTTTTAAAAGCCACGTTCATAAGCAATATGAATGATTGCATCTTAACTTTATTATTCTCCAACTTCAAAAAGTAATGTAGAGGGTACTCATTTTTTAAAGAAAATGAAAATATATTACTAAAAATAGTTACTAAACAACTAGTCCCCTATTCCTTTGAGAGGAGGCCTGTCTCCCAGCTCTGAGTGCCTCAGGAGACTGGGTGGCCTTCTGCCACGGCAGGAACAATGGTCTGCATGCGGAAGTCCGCTTGTAACTAATACATCGCTCTCAGTTGAGTGAGATTTGTGCAGGGTCTTGTTTAAAACACAATGTTTAACATACATGTGAGTGTTAGGAAAAGACACACTTGTCTAATGTTAAAAAAGACTCTTCTAAATTCTAATATGTCCATGATATAATTTTATTTGTGCCTTTTCTTCCTCTTTGTCTCTGTAGTTATCAAGTTAGGAATAGATAGCCACCACAAAACAGGTTGGGTAATGTCCATGCTATCAGGTCACTAGGCAAACCACACACACACACACACACATACACACACACACACACACACACACACACACACACTCTCACACACACACACACACACACACACTCACACTCACAGAGAGCAGCAGAAGTCGAATTATCTTCAGGCTCTGTGTGACCTCGACTTGAACTCCTGGGCTGTGGCGGCTTCAGTGCTGTGCCCGGGTCCTTTTGGGGCCTTGCTTTCTCTGCCTGCCCTTGCTCAGCAGCCCTCTGCCCCCTTCCGAGGAGCCTGGCTGTGGTCCTCCCACTGCAGGGCCAGAGGGAAGGGGAGGGCCTCCCTGTCCCGCAGAGTCTGAGCTCACTGGGGAGCATATTTGTGGCAATGTCTGCCCCTGTCATTCTCATAAGAGCTCAAACCAGGCGAGTTAAGCCTACCATTTATCTACTAAGAAACTCCAGAAGGCTGGGAAATTGTATCTTTCTATTATTCATGGGCCACAAATAATACAAAGTAAATACTTGTAAGCCATAGTACCAGAAAACATGTTGTTTTTGCTTGTTAGCTTGTTAAAACCACTTATTGGAGTTTAAGTCCCATTTACATCATTGATAAAGGAGCCAAAATAAGAATTTTCCAAGGAGCCTCAATTCTTTGTGGAGAGTCAGATTTCCTAAAGGCTAATTACTGAAATCCCTGATTGGAACTGCTTGTCACATAGGAGGGGGGCCAGAAATTTTTTTATATGGAAACCCACCTGTTTGGGATATAATTGATTAACCAAGGAAAGGTAATGCTAGAGATTTCTTTTGACATAATCAAAATTTTGATCCATTTTTCTTTCTAATTCAACTGAACCACAGTAACAGATCTGTTAACTGATGATCAGGAGATGCTATTGAAAGTCTTGATTTTAAGTTATCAGAGTTATATTTACTTGCAAAACCCTTAAACTTTCTAGAAATATTTGATCATGTGAAACATGTCGACTTTGAGATTGCCCACAGATATCTTCTTGCTGACTTTTTTAAAAAGCCCGCCCTGGATTTGATGGGCGGATGGGAGAGCGGTAGCCATTGGTGGCAGTGTTGGCATGCAGCTTGAGTACTTTAAAATTCACGAACAAGCTAGTGCTGAAATTCTTGTTTTACAATTTATATTGATACCCATAAGAAAATTAACTAATTGCAGTTTTCTTTTTGTCCTTTTGCACCTCTGTTTGCTGCTTTCTGTCTCTTTCTCTGTCTCTTTCACATCAGTCACCTGGGCTTGGCACTGACTCATGTTCCCTGTCCCCCCCATCAGCCCACTGTCCCCCTGCATCTCCCACAGAGCTCCGTAGGAGGTGTAAGGAGAATGACCGCCCACCTCCGGGTTGCAAACCTTCTAAAGACACCGTGCCTGTGCACGGAGAGCCCTCCGTGGACTCTGACAGCAAAGGGAAGCCGTACCTAGCGGACCAGGATGTGGCTTTTAGCTACAAACAGCAAACTGGCAAAGGGGCCACCCTGTTCTCCTTCTCCTTGCAGCTCCCGGGGTCATTCCCTTCTCTTCTAGATGACGACGGGTACCTCTCTTTTCCCAACCTGTCCGAAACCAACCTCCTCCCCCAGAGCTTGCAGCATTACCTCCCGATTCGCTCACCCTCCCTCGTGCCCTGTTTCCTCTTCATCTTTTTCTTCCTGCTCTCAGCCTCCTTCTCAGTGCCATATGCCCTCACTCTCTCCTTCCCTCTGGCTCTGTGCCTCTGCTACCTGGAGCCCAAGGCGGCCTCCTTGAGTGCCTCACTAGACAATGACCCGAGTGACAGTTCAGAGGAAGAGGTGTGTACCTCGGCATAGAACACACTTCCCTGTCGTGGTCGGGGCTTTGGTCCGAAACAGTGTTAGACGGCTGCTGCGATAGTGGTCCTACTTTCAGAGCCTCATTTATTGTCTGTGCCAATCTGTGAAGCGATTTTTGTGTGTTGGGGGAAGCAATCCGGCCCCAGGGTTAGGCACAACACCATGTGGACGTAGCAGTCCGAGCCCAGCCCGGAATCATGCTGCTACCCACTGAGTTACATGGCTGGGGAAGGACTCAGCCAGAAGTCAAGTCTAAATAACCCTGTGGCTGTGTAACAATCAGGGTTAAGTTAAAGGTTTTGTTCAGTTACCGTTTAATAAAGTAAATTACACACAAGATAAATACATAACTTTTGACTAGATTTATGGAGTGTTATTAAAATGTACAGCCACTTCTCAAATAACGTTGCTTCATTCAACATCTTTTCATTATAACATTGATGAGATGCCATAGGAATTTAACTCTTGTTTATGTCAGTTAGCCTCTGGTAAAATTGGTTTCATTATACATCATTTCGCTTAAAGTAACAGACCCTGTCGACAACATTAAGTGAGGACTTTCTGTATCCTGATATCATGATATATAGTGGTGAGATAGTCTAGATCAGTGATATTCAACCTTTTTCATCTCGTGGCATTATCTATATATATAAAAGCCTAACCAACTGAACGACAGAATGACCAAACGACTAGTCACTATGACGCGCACTGACCACCAGGGTGCAGACGCTCAACGCAGGAGCTGCCCCCTGGTGGTCAGTGTGCTCCCACAGCCAACCTCCCGTGGGCCCTCCCCCACTACCAACCTCCTGCGGCCCTGATCAGCCTCAATTGCTGGCCAAGCCAAGGGACCCCACTCGTGCACAAATTCGTGCACCAGGCCTCTAGTATAAAATAATTAATAAAATTCTGCTGCACACCAAAAATGTATTTTTTGCCAATCTGATCATCTAAGGGAAAAGAGACCAGTACCCCTGACTAAATAGTCAGGTATTGCATGTTTTAAAAATTCTTGCAGCACACTGGTTGAAAAATCACTGGTCTAGATAAATGCTACTCAAGGTGAGGTGGGAGAGAACACTACCATAGGGGATGTGTCATCATCATCTGGGCAGTTTTACAAAACTGTAAATGCCTCTCATACTGGGGATTCTGAAATGTCCCCTCTACTGTCTTCTGTTGTCATTGCTAGGCTGTCATTGTTACTCACAGACATGAGCCACATTCCATGGGTGTTTTGGGTCAGAAAGGAAGTTTGAGCTGTTTAAAATGTCCACATCACATCAGTCATTGGCAGGGCCAGAAAGAACTGCGTTGAAAACACCAGTTTTCAAGCACAGTCAGGAAGAGACTCACTTGAGGCTTCTCTACACTGTAAAAATGGGCTGAAATCTCATCAGCACTAGCAATGCCAACGTATACACTGGATGATTTCTTTAAAATCCAACATGAGTCCAAAACCCCACATGCATTCAGACAGTCTGGAAAGGCCAGGGACGTTGGATGGGCCTCTATGGCTTCCAGCCAGGCAGTTGTTCAGTGGGGAAAGGACTTGAGCCTTCAGCCTCCATCCCCGAAGCCCTGCCGCCTATCTGTTTCCTGTCCCTCATCCAAGCCATTGGGTGAGCTGATGTTGTCGCCAGCAGCCTTTCCTCTTAATTGCTCTCCTTTCCCCTTAGCGGTATGAACAGCCCAGCGGTTTCCCTTTCTACAGGCTTCACATAGAGAACAGGGAAAAGGAATAGAAGCTGCCCGCAGAGGCACCTGGCTGTCACCTGCCCTCCTGCCCACTGCTCCCCTGGGCCCCTCAGCTCTTCTGTTCCCACAAAAGAAGGGTTTTGTGGCAGGAGACAAGCCCATTACTCTTAGCATTTAAAAAATTTACAAAGTCAAAGCCACGTTATAATAAGAAAAGAAAGTCTTTTCAGTTTTTGCTCAGCTAGAAATCACGTGAGCTGCACCTGTGAGTATATAGTATTGCCAGGGTGTGTAAGTATCTATATTTAGTGGTATTATGACCATTTCTTTTCAGCAGAAGGGGAAAAAATGGGAATGGTTTCACAGATGTTTGAAATAAAAGTTTAAGCTTTTCAAGTTGATAATTGCCTAAGAGCCCTTTTCAAGGATCCTGGGTCACGTATGACTTAGGTTAGATATATGTAACTATTTTCATACTTGAAAAATACTTTTCAGAGAAAACTAGTTTAAATCTTAGGCTTTAATAGCACTCTTTCTCATAGTGGCCATAATATCAAATAATATAAGACTAGAACCTACAGCAGTCAAGAACACAGTTTTATCTATAAAGACTATATAGCTTGTTTCCAACCTGGACATACATTTTTCCTTTAGCAATGGAGTTAGTCATCAGGCTGGCATAAAGCAAAAAGATTGCCGTTTTATGCTTTCTGAATTCTAAATAACTGAACTTACGTGTAGCAAACCACACAGATCTTGTGCCTAATCCAGGGTATACATCTTGTTGTAATCAATGCATGAGAACTCATGTTAAACTTGGGCATGTCTGCATTACGTCGACAAAACAAATCACAGCAGTACTCCTTGCAAGCTGGTGACCATGGGACTGGAACTTCCCAGTACGGGACTCTCCTTGTTATTGAAAATCTCTCAGACCATGAACCAGCCCTGGCCGCTGCAGTCTCCCGAGCCCCCCTCTGCAGCCTCGGTCAGCCGTGGCAGCTCTCCTGACACTTCATATTTGGCCATCTGTTCAGTGTCGTCTCTTAACACCAAGTGTTCAGAGCTGTGCTCTCTAGTTCCAGCCAAGCTAGAGAACTCATATGTAGGTCATTCAGTTAAAAAAAATAGCCATTTGTTTACATGGCCTGTTTCATTCTCCAGGCCTCAAGCACTTTGGCAGCTACACTGGGTGACTTCGTAACATACAGTTCAGCTCTGTGACTTTGATTTTGCAAAATCACTAATGGCCATAATTCTTTTTAAGTATTTTATCATCACTGCTTTCATTTTTCACCTGTTGTGCTGGCTTAATTAGTTCCAGCCTTTCTCCAGAGTGAAATCCAATGTAGAAATGCTTAATCATTTCAAACATAAAGCTGTTGGCCAATAATATCTTTCTTTTGTACTTTCAGAGTGGTCAAATAAGAAGGGGCGGTATATCAAATTGTCTTTTAAGAAACAAGATGAATTTAGCTCATCATACCATAAAATGTAGTTACATATGAATTTCTGAGGAATTTTTTGATAATGCAAAAAACAAAAAGATAAAAATCAAATCTGGAGGAAAAAATTGACCACTTAATTTTAACATTTTAAATTAATAGTAATAATTATGTTATATTAGCATCAATATATTACAATTATTATAGGTTTTCTTAGTTCTGTGTGTGTCAGACATATAAAGCACTGAGTATCCATTTCTTGATCTGGTTAGGGTTATTTTCACCATTTTACTAGAAGGAAATTGGGATTAAAACATAAAATGTGCCCAATGTGTCACAGATTTGACTAGTGAGGATTTTAGCTCATGTCAGTCTGATCAGGCCCCTCACACTTCACCAGGACTGTAACCTAAAGCCAAGATGCTTGCAAAGTCCTTGATATAAATTTTAAAGCCATAGGGAAATAATATGTGGGAGGAGAAATACTTTCAAGAACTTTTAAAATCTTTGACACAATTAGCACACTGAGCACAAGTCATTCTTGTTTGTTCTTGAAAGTTTTAAGATTTTGAATTATTTCATAACCTGTCTCTCTCTTTTTAATTCAGACTGACCTTTCCCTAGATTGTCAGTGGGTGAAGCATTGTAATATCTTAGCAATGATCACCCAAGAAAATTAATAGCCACCCACCCCACATGTTGCCAAGTTGGTCAGGTCATGAAAAGGTATCAACACACTTTTTTTACCAACCCACTGAAAATTACTTTCCACTTAAACATGCTAGCTAGTAGCCAGAATGGCGACCTCAGGTGTACCATTGCACAAATACCAACTCCTTTTCTTTTAGGACTATATAAAATGAAAGTTTGGGTTAGTGCCAAGAAATCAACCTAGCCAGAGTTATGTGAGCATAAACAACTCTCCCACTGTCCCTTCCTGACACTCTTGGGAGTGTCTTAAGAGGCAGATTCACAGCCTTAGAGCTTTGATTTTTGTTTTCAAAATGTTAATCACACATCTTTGCTCAAGGGAATTTAATAATGCTTAGCTGGTATTTATGGAAGAAAAGTCAGTTAATATTAGGGCATTTAGATGTTTCTGTTTCGATGGCTATACTATTCCCCGCCAGAGAAACTAGTTTTTGTTTTAAATCATAAACCTCTGAAACAGATTAAAAACCAGTTCTGAAATTTCTAGTATAATACTCCCCTAAAAACATGGGCCCTGACAATGCTGTGCTTTGTTTTATTCGTTTCCAAGTAAATATTTCTCTAATTTTAAAAAGTTATTATTATGCTGTTGTTAATTCTCACCTGAGGATATTCTTTCCATTGATTTCTTTAGAGCTGGGGTGGGGACCGTCCAGCCCGTGGGCTGCATAAGGCCCAACAAATCATTTGGTGCGGCCCTGCCAAGGCAACTGCAGGCAGGACTTGAAATTCAATAAATCCAGGAGCTTTTTTTATAGCAACATAAATTTATATTAAGTGAACTATATTAAGCGAATGATGTTATAAATATCCAGATGACCCCTGGTTCCCCACCCTGCTTTAGAGCGAGTGGAAGGAAGGGAGGGAGGGCAGAGAGAGAGAAACATGGATATGAGAGAGACATTATTATTATTATTATTGCTTCATTTGAATAGGAATTTTTGGAACAAGATATTTCAGTAGATATACCTCTTTATATTGGAGGGTGAGGCAAAATATACACAGGATATAGTCTTAAAAAATACCTAGTTAGCAAAGCTAATTGAAAATTAAGTTACTTTTTTTTATATATAAAACATGTGCCTGTGAGTCACTGGCATGTGCTTTTTATAATTACTAAGTAATGCAGATGGCCTGGTGGTCACAAATGGATGTAAATGATCAAAACGGTATAAATGAGGGGCTGAAAGTCCAGTGACTGTTATAGTAGCTTTTTATTTAAATTTCCATTTTAATTTACCTTTCAAATGTCTGAACTATTATTAGAATTTTAAAAAAACTATATAAACATCAAATTTGCATTAAGTATTTTGCATTAAGTATATTTAGGGGATCTTTCTTGGGTTTTAGTTAAAGCTGGGGGAGGGGGGGGAAGAATGACAAATTGGTTTTCCCAAAACATAAAACCAGACAGGTCAGCTTGGCTACTGTAGTGTCTGCGGTTCCCGCAGGCTGTGTGCCTCTGGTCTTCCTCTGAGTGGCTCTGCTGGTGAAACCTAGCTCTGGCCTTGCTTTTGCTTTTGCTTGACCCTGCATTCTCGTGGGAAGGTAGTTTGATTCGGATCACAGAGAAAGAGAGTGGACTGCTTGGCCTGTGCCATGCCCCATTTAACCAGACGGGTTTGTTTTCTATTCCTGCCTTCCTCCTGGAACCCGATCACTTCTCTGGTCAATAGACGGACAGTGAGCGCACGGACACCGCGGCCGATGGGGAAACCACTGCCACTGAGGTTGGTATAATCGCTGGGGTGGTGGCTCTGCCTTTAGGAACTTTGCATATTAGCTTTTAGGATGGAGAGAAATTCTAACCATAGCAATAGGAGTTAAATATTTTATGAGGCCTAGACTAGTGGTTCCAAACTCTGTAGAATCCCATTTCATGTTTCTCATTCAGAAGGTCTGGGGCCCAGATGGAGAATTTGTATTTCTAAGCAGTCCCTGGAAGTTGTTGATTCTGTCCATTTTAGTTAGGACCACATTTTGAGAATCATTTGGCTACACTGGTAATGCTTATTTTTCATATATTCCCCTATCCCAGTGGTCGGCAAACTGCAGCTCGCAAGCCACATGCGGCTCTTTGGCCCCTTGAGTGTGGCTCTTCCACAAAATACCACGTGCGGACGCGCACGCACAGTGCGATTGAAACTTCGTGGCCCATGCGCAGAAGTCGGTATTTTATAGAAGAGCCACACTCAAGGGGCCAAAGAGCCACATGTGGCTCGCGAGCTGCAGTTTGCCGACCACTGCCCTATCCCAAATGAAAGACTGTTTATGTATCACAGCTATGATGAGTGGGGAGGAGCATCACAAGTAATTTAATTAGCTTGTTGATGGTTACAGATATATATTTAAGTTCCAAATGGTCAAGTATACTTGTTCAAATAATAATAATTCTTTTAACTCATTTTTGTAGACTAGAGGTAGCACAGGTCACTCAAAATAAATGAATTGTCTAGGAAGGGAAATTTAAGATTGAAACTTCGTGGCCCATGCGCAGAAGTCGGTATTTTATGGAAGAGCCACACTCAAGGGGCCAAAGAGCCACATGTGGCTCGCGAGCTGCAGTTTGCCGACCACTGCCCTATCCCAAATGAAAGACTGTTTATGTATCACAGCTATGATGAGTGGGGAGGAGCATCACAAGTAATTTAATTAGCTTGTTGATGGTTACAGATATATATTTAAGTTCCAAATGGTCAAGTATACTTGTTCAAATAATAATAATTCTTTTAACTCATTTTTGTAGACTAGAGGTAGCACAGGTCACTCAAAATAAATGAATTGTCTAGGAAGGGAAATTTAACAAATAACTTCATACTGTATTGAAAAAAATGTGGTCAGATGGAACAATGATAGAAGGAATACTATGCTATTATGTATCCTTTATTAAATTTTTAGGGTACATTAAATGTGTGTGTGTGTATGTATGTGTGACTTATATTGTTTTTCAAATTTTCTCTACCAGTTAATAATTAAAATTTCTGTAAAACCAGTATTTATCTATAGTAATGGGAGTCAAGATGTTAATTTCCTAAAGTGCTAGAGAATTTATTTTTTACTTTGCATTAATTTTTACTTTAGGTTGTCTTTTTACAGCATTAAAATTATAATACCTAGTTGGGTATTTAGGAAGAACTAAATATTGTAAGTGGTATCTATAAATCATTTTATTGAAAATATCTTCAGAAAAACATTTCAAAGTGGAGTTTTATTAAGTGTCTTCCTTCGGAAATGCCAGGCTTCAATTCAGAGCTTGGAAATCATAATTTTTTTAAGTTAAAAATAATATTGTAAAAGTATTTTTCATATCCTTTTAAGCAATCATGTAAATTTATTAAAAGTTAATAATTTTTCTATGGCAAAATATAACCAGTGCATGTTATTTTATAAGAATTAGTAGTTAGATATAGCTGCACATGAATATATTTAATAAATTTCACTGTAATCTTAAGTGCTACAAGTGAACAATATTTTAATAATACTTTAAAGTTTATATAGCAGTTAACATTTTGTTGTATAACATCTGAAGCACAAAACTCAATACATGTAACAGGTAGCTTGTGAGGCTTAAAAATAAGTGAAGAGCTGTGAACCTGCCACATACTTAAGAATTAACACATCACTCACACTGTGTTAGAGTTACCTGTGCACTGTCTAACACTTTTTAAACACTTTTCCTTTTCTTTGAGGAACCAGCATAAAAGTAGTGAAGGGTGGGGCATTCTGGGTAGGCAGTCTTGACCCCTTTGGCAGATAAGGAAACCTGGACCCAGATAGACTGACTTGCTTATGGCCACCTGCTCAGGCATTGGCTTCTTGCGTGTGGCTTTACTCTGGGCCTCCTCTGTAGCACAGGCCTGGGTGACTGTGGCTTGGCCTACTTACCTAGTTTTTCGTACTCAGATACCAGCCCAAGGATTAGACACGTCCTTGAAATGAGAAGGGTTGAGGGAGGAAGGATAACAGGGTTGCATTTAGGTAATTTTTTTGTATTTTTTAAAAACTCAAAAATAGTGTTTTTAAAGGTAATTGTTGATTTTAAAGGTAATTGTTGATGGTAGTTGATTTTTATAAAAATTTTCTTATTTACCCCATATCTTTCTTCTTCCCTCCCAAATTGGTTTTTTAAGTACATGAGTTCAAGATATTACAGGTTTCAAGGAGTTTTTAAATGTGAGAACCTCTGTGTTAAATTTTTTGAGCCTCAGTTCTCTGGCCTACATTGGGGATAATAATAGCTAATCTTTTAGAATTATTATGAGGATTCATACACTACAAAAAGCTCTCATTATTGGGAAATCATAGCCATTCTCATGAATTTGAATTTTAATGGGGCTCCCCACATTTCCTGAACCATTTCTAATGTCCATTAAGGACAGCCCGCCGAGCCCTTGCTGTCACCTCCCAAGCATAGGTGTGCACACATTACACTTACAAGTCTGCAGGTTAAAGTGGCAAAAACCCACTGAGCAAGGAATCTTTTACTCCTCTTTTCTTTTTAAGCTTTGTCATTTGTGTGTGGGAATGTTGTGGTTTGCAAAGAAGAAATAGCATTCGTAAGCAAGAGCAAACTAGTGCCTCCTTTTAGCAAGTTTATATAGACCCTGGTTCCTCAGTCTCAGAGTCGCTTGCATGGTAAGACTTTGTTTCCCGCTCTTTCCTGATGCTGGCAGTCGGACCAGGAGGAAGATGCAGAGCTCAAGGCACAGGTAGACAATGAAAAATAAAACAATAGCAAAACCCAGTGTGTGTAAGCCATTGTCCATCTGTGGTGTTCCAGTCTCCCAGCATGCTCCATAGCCGGTTGCCATGTAGTGTATGTAGTGTGGAGGGTGACATTTGTTCCAGTGACTACCATGTCCCTTACCTTTCCCTTTCTTCTCCACTTTTTTCAGAATAGTCTGATTAAGCGAATAAAGGGTGAAAATGTGTATGTCAAACATAGTAATCTTATGTTAGAGGTTGGTATGAGTATATACCAGTGCATGTTCATGTGTGTTGAGTTCTTTCCGTGGTATACCTGTGGGCTCATACCATGATGCATGAACTGTGTGCTCTCACCTGTGAACAAGTGGGGATGACTTCTCACCTTTCTCTGATTTCCTTCCTCTCTCTTTTCCTGTGTGTGTATTTATTTTAATTCTCTCTGGTTACATGTGAATTCTATGCTTTAAAGTTTACCATTTTAAACTCTTGATTTTTATGCTTGTGTGACCTAGATTATTTTTTTCCTCTCTTTTCCTTGGCAATATCACATTTTCACCAGAGTGTTTGTGGTAGTGTCATGAGCTGTGATCAAAACTTTTGTTTTGACTACTAATGAAATGGACATTACTTTTTTAAAAAAAAAAAAAAGAGAGAGGAAAGAGGAAAATAAATGTAAAATGTTGACTGTTGGATTCTTTATGTTCTGAATATAGGAGCTAGATAAAACTCAAGATGACCTGATGAAACATCAGACCAATATTAGTGAGCTGAAAAGAACCTTTTTAGAAACCTCCACAGACACTGCCATCATGAATGAATGGGAAAAAAGGCTTTCTACCTCCCCAGTGCGCCTAGCCGCCAGGCAGGAAGATGCACCCATGATAGAACCACTTGTCCCTGAAGAGGTCGGTATTCAGGCTGTTGGTTGCAATTGTCTTCTGTTCACTAGACTCGCTTCTCCACAGGGTCTGCACCTGGGGAAAGGATTTGGCAAGCTTCTGAGTAGAGAATCTCACCACTTATCTGTGTGTAACCTGAGCTGCCATATTCAGTGCTCCAAAGAAAAGCTGAAAAATAAAATGATGAGGTGGCTAAGGAGCAAGTTGGTCACATCAGATGGTGCTTAAGAGTAAACAAGGAGCCACGGGGAATTATAATGCATGTCCGCCTATCCCATTAAACCTAGATTTCACATCTGGGAGAAAATTAGCTACTATCAAAGAACTGACACTTTTTCTGAATATGCTGCTTCTGCTGCATTAAGAAATGCCCTGAAAACTCATGAATGCTTCTCATTAATTGCAAGATAAGGCCTATGGAGGTTGTCTAATGTTTGACTAAATGGTAACCTGAAGTTGATAGAATTTCAGGACATACTTTATTCTGGGAATACTGTAACAGCCTTTTACAGGTATGAGCAGTATTTTATTTTTATTTATAACTGATTTTTATACATATGACTGCTATTTTAACAGATTTATAACCAGTTTTTATTTTATTTTTAATAAGGAAAGTAAGGCCAGAATATGTTTTCAAGTGAGACTCTTCCATATAGGAAAGCTCTGTATAAATTACAGCCAGAGTGTAGAGAGGATCCAGCTGGTGCGAGTGACTTGGTGCTCCCATTGTGGGCCCGCGAATAGCTAATCTGACTGTCGACTAGATTTATCTGTCTTTCAAAAAAAGTAGTTTTTTAAAACTGCATCTTTCTCGAATCATATTGATTAATTTCTTATCAAGACTCCATTATTGTGAGATATTTGTCCAGGAAGCTGAAACAGAACAGAAGAAAATTAAAACTTAGGCCTTTATGGGAGAAAATTTCTTTAACAGTAGTCAATGGTTAGGTCTTTGCAGTGGAAAAAAAAAAGAATGTAATTAAACTCATTTTGGTCATTTTTAAGACTTCCTTTAAGAGCTATTTATCAAAAGTGACCACAATCACTATACTATCTTCATGACAATTCCAAATCCAGCTAAACACTGATGAGGCATTTCTCTCTTTGAATTACTTTGAAAAGGGCCCTTTTATGCAGAATAAATGGAAAGTACTATTACCAAAGTATTCCTTTGCCATTAAACACCAATTTCCATCAGATTATTTGAGTTTCAAGAGATGAAATGTCTCATTCCAATTGATTTAAATGTTGTAGACCCTGCATTAGTAAGAATATCGCTTGTTAATTATCATTGCATAAAATTTCATTGTAATTGGTCAGATTTGACTTACTGTGTATCTACTATCTCTGTTGGGAATAAGGAAGATCATTTTGGCTCTGAGGATGGCAGACACTGCATTAAGTTACAAACACAAAAAATAAATAGCCACCAAAACTGAAACCAAAAAACCCATGCCTCCTTACAGTCGCTTAGTAAGGGACATGGTAGGTGGTAGCCACTTTGAATGAAGCTTAGGTGGACGCGTAGAGAAGTTAAAGGTTGGTGCTAATAAACAAGGGACTTTACAGAGCTAGGCCATCAGACTAGTAAAAAATGTGTTTCACTTACTAAATCACCTTATTCGTAGAGAATGACATTGATGAACCAAAAATCATTAATAACTTGAAAAGGTGATACTTGGAACATGGTGAACTTTCCCTGGATAGTGCTGCCTTTTCTGTGTTAGCACAGACAAGCTGCAGTGAGCCCAAGAAAGGATTTTTTTTAATAATTAAAGGATGGAAACATGGCCTCTGCAGAGGAGTGAGCAGTTTGGTTATTTAGACTGGAGAAGACAATGGGCTGGTCTGCTTTTAGGGTCTCCTAAGCTGTTAAGCAGAGGCTCTACCCCAGGGTCCAGCACCATCACAAAAAGAAAATTATAGAAAGACTTGGCTAGACCTGAAAAAGAACTTAAAAGCAAGGCTGATTAACCCTGGTTATCAAAGAGCAGCCCTAAGGAGCTTCAGGTCCCAGAGGAAGAGAGGTCCTTTCAGGGCGGGTCAGAGCTCTGCGTATTTTCCTTGACCTTGGGGCTGGGCAGAGTAGCCTAGGGGCTGCCTTCTAACACTGTCCAGGCCCCTTCATGGCATCCAAGTTTATATTCCATTTGAGGGCCGTAAGGACAATCCAAAAAGTTTGTATGCTCTAAATTCTTGACAGTTTCTAAATTATGGCCCTGGCTTTTGTTATGGTTTGTGAAAAGTGCACAAGATAACTTTTCTCCTCCCAGCAAGCTACATGCAAAGCATATTCATTTACAAACACATACCCAAAAGATTTTCATTTTAGAAGGGAGGTATTTTTCTAAGTAAATTACTAGTTTTATATCATCCTATTATTTCATGTATCCCTTTTTATTTAAAAAAATATGTATATATATATATATTGATTTCAGAGAGGAAGGGGGAGAGAGAAACATCAATGATGAGAGAATCATTGATCAGCTGCCTCCTACATGCCTCCTACTGGGGATCGAGCCCACAACCTAGGCATGAGCCCTTGACTTGAATCAAACCCAGGACCCTTAGGTCCACAGGCCGACACTCTATCTGCTGAGCCAAACCAGCTAGGATTCATGTGTCTCTTTTTAAATCTAAGTAAACAGTAATGGACCAGTTTAGAAAGAAGTCCTAAAATAATTTAATTTTAAACAAGGGCCAAATACTGTTTGTGTGAGAGGTTGAAGAAACCCTGATTCAGTGACCCCAAGCTTAGTTATTTTTTTTGTAATCTAGGTAATAAAATGTTGTGGAAAGAATCTAATTAGGGCTGGTTTTTAATGTGACCATCTTTTTTGTTTATCTATGGTGTGTTTGACTCCTAAGTATTTTTTTTTTGAGGATGTTTTCGTTGACTTTTTTTTAAAGAGAGGAAGGAAAAAAGAGAGAGAAACATGGATTGGTTGCCTCCCATACGTGCCCTGACCAGGGATCCAACCCACAACGTAGGTATGTGCCCTGACCGGGAATTGAACCCACAACCTTTTTGTTGTATGGGGCGACGCTCCAACAACTGAGCTACCTTGCCAGAGCAGTAAATATATTTTTATAAGATGCCACCAATTTATGATTAAAAGAAAATTCAGAGTTAAAAATATAAGTAATAAGCTAGTAATGGTGATGATACTCTAAGCATATTACGTATGTTTACTATAAAATGAGAATTTTATTGCCAGTAGTTTCAAGTTTAAAACATTTGCATTATTAGCAAGGATATGCCCCAAAACAGCAGATAATATCAGTCCTTATTAAATTTGGAAAATTGACAAACCACATACAGGGTTCATAGAACATAGGAAAGGTAGGTGTGTGGTATGTGAAGAATTCCAGGTATGTCTTCGGTTCACACATATTTTCCATGACAGTCTTCTATGATGCACCTTGGCCTTGTCCACATTAGAGGCATGTTCCCTTATGGTTACTTGAATATTAAAAGTTTCCAAATTCCACCCAATAGGCAGTACCCATTAGCACTTACACAGCGCCAATATTCTCTTTTTTAATGTGGCTGGTTTTACAGGTATGTGAACTTAGTACAGTGAATCCTCCTCATTCACACTCCATATTTGCACATTTGCTTCTTCACTAAAATTTATTGTAACCCCAATGTCAGTATTAGCAGTGGTTCCATGGTCCTTGGCAGACAGGCTGAGTGGTGAAAACCTTGAGTGGCTCAATGTATACGTTCCCAGCTGAGGCTGAAAGGCAGGGTTCTGCTTTCTTGGTTCAGCTCTCACACTGTAAACAAGTGTCCTTTTCATGGCCTGTTTAGTGCCACATTATTGCTTTTTTGTGTTTTTGCTGGTGATTTTTCTGTTTAAAATGGCCCCCAGGCATAGGACTGAAGTGCTGTCTAACATTCAGCAGTGTGCCTTATGGGAAGCTACATGTGTTAGATGAGCCTCATTCAGGAATAAGAGTGTTGTTGACTCTGAGTTCCATGTTGATGTGGATCAACAATTTATGTTAAATATAAGGGACTTTAAACAGAAATACATACAAAACAGATTATGTATTAATAATGACCAGAGGCTCACAGGAACCTAATCCTGTATATCCCCAATGGGGCAGTGTTTCAGCATTCACCAGTTTATTGTTCATAGCGACTTTGTAGAACCTAACTACCATGGATAATTGGAATCGATTCTATTTGTGCATTTGTCTGCTTTCTAGTCCAGCTCTCCTTTTGCTATTCGGGGCTTAGATGGACCTCAAATTGGACAAAAAAAAAAACATTCACCAGGGATCATCTATTTATGATTAAGAAGAATTATCTCTGCCCAAACCGGTTTGGCTCAGTGGATAGAGCGTCGGCCTGCGGACTCAAGGGTCCCGGGTTCGATTCGGTCAAGGGCATGTACCTTGGTTGCAGGCATATCCCCAGTGGGGAGTGTGCAGGAGGCAGCTGATCGATGTTTCTCTCTCATTGATGTTTCTAGCTCTCTATCCCTCTCCCTTCCTCTCTGTAAAAAATCAATAAAATATATTTTTTTAAAAAGAAGAAGAAGAAGAATTATCTCCATATTCTGAATCCGACTTCTTTGATTTTTTCATCCAGGCCTTGGTACATATTACAATTATCTATGGGAAATTTTTAAATACTGATGTGCATCCCACACATCAACTCTTATTTAAAAGCTGGCCACATAATTCTAATGCACAGCTCAGTTTGAAAACCCCTGGCCCAGCTCTGTAGAAACCCTTGATTCCCCCAAGAGCGAGTGCACCTCTGAATTTTGCATGCCAGCATCGGGCCTTGGTTCCCAGTCATGTTTCAGAGATGAACTTTTAGGTCACTAAACAAAATGGATACATCTAATTCTGTTCTAAACCGTTACATTAGTAAGTGTCCTTATTATCAACTTTTCTTTGTCAGTACCTCTTCTCTGTTAGCTGAACTAACTGGATTGGGGTTGACCATTATAGGGTTTAATTTTAATATCTATCCCCTTTTGTTACCCTTTTCTGCAACTGGACATACCCAGTTCTGAGTGCAGACAGTGGTGGACATTTTCAGTTATAAACACGGACCTTTTGGAAATGAATTGATGTCAGATAACAGGATATGCTGACTACCACTGTTTTCCTGCTGATTTTGTTTTTTTAAGCTTTCATTTTAGGAAAAAAATAGTTCAGTGATTATAATTAGAGGCCTAGCAGTGGTATTCTGAAAAATACCTCTAATTTTGACTTTTCTTTCCTGTTTCTTATTTCTATTTGAAAAAGAGGCTATGATTGAAAGTAAACCAAACAAAAATCCACATTTAATGATTGCACATGGTACGTTTTGTCTCTTCCAATACCTTTCTCCAAAATGGGGCAGGACAGGGATTTTATTTTTCCTTCAAAAATGTCTTACTTGTTCCTCACTAAATAGCTCTCATAAAATTATATTGTTTACAACAATAGAATTTATTTTGAAAGCTCCATTCTTCTAGAAACTTTGAACTTTGTTATTTTTAAATTTGCCTTCCTTTCTGTCACTGTTGTATGGAGTTGCATGCTGTGCACAGATAGGGTCAGTAGTCAATGTATAGCCACTTAAATTATTCCTTTTTAATACTAGAGAAAGGAATAACAAGAAGATAAAAGCTAGTTCTAACATGACTTATTTACTTGAGCGTTTCTTAATTTGATATGATAAAGATAAGCATGATTTGAAATAAATTATTCACCAAAATATTTTCAAATTGACTCTTTAGAAGTCTTCACCATGTTATGAAAATTCAAATAAAGCTACTACCTTGAGTATATTTTATGTTTATTTGTGGAACAATAAACAAGTCGATCTAGATAGAACCGGGTTTATTCGCATCAGTAGCTAATGCAGTGACCCATGTGTGTTTCTTGACTCTTTATGTAGCAGCACTTACATGGGAATACAATCAAGTATTAGAAATAGAATCGAGATTACTCTCACCTTAATGTTTTTAAGTCAACATTTTCTTTTCATACTCACTCACTGGCGGTGTGCCGATGACTGACATAGAGACACTGTTCGAGGCTGGGCACTCTTTTTATTGCTCTTGCATGTCCTGTGTTTGTAGAAATAAGAGTGTTTGAGTCATACAAACACCAGAATTTAGGAAAATTATCTCTTACTTTTTGGAAATAACTATTCAACTTTGAGATAGTTTCAGACCATTTTTCAAATTAATAGACAATAATTTGCTTTTTACAGAAAAATAAATAAATAAAAGAATGACTGTTATATGTATAGCACAATAAAAGAACTCTCTCCTAACTTGCCTTTTTGGGAACTGTCTGCTTCCTCTTCTCCAACCCAACCCCCTTTATTCAAACAGACCAAAGAAGAAAGAGAGATTTCTGAAAAGGTTATATTTTTGCAGCAGGGAAGCTCTTCATTCCTTGAGTCTCAGGTAAAAAACAAACATAAAAGAATTTTCCAAAAGGGTATTGCTCTTCAGACTGCAGTGTTATTAAAATGTCTTTAGTTTTGTTTTCTTTTTAAAATTTACCTTGCTGAAAACTAAGGTAGGTATATATCATTTTTGCTTCGCTTCTGGGGAGGGGAAAAGGAATTTTCTCACCCTTGTAGTTACCAGTTAGCCATCATTTCTTTATGGCTTTTGCTCCTAAGTGGTTATGTCTGAGTGTGGGCTTTTCTAATTATTGGAACTCTTCACCATTTGTTTTACCCTTAGTGTGATACTAATCTGGATGGCTTTGAATGGCTTTGAAAGTTCTGAATTTCTATTGGTTTTCCCACTAGCCAAGTGTGATAAAGAGAATGCGGGAAGGAGACTCTGCGGTTACCTCTCAGCAAATCATTTTCCAGAAAACGGTCCCATCGACCCTAGAGGTTATTTTTCACTTCATTTCCTTTAATCCAGCACCAACAAGTTGATGAATCTGCACTTCTTTTTTCCTAAGGCACACATATTTCTGGATTCAAGTTTGCAGGCAGTGATAAGTATGCAAGTAGAAAACATTCCAATTTAAAATGTAAACCAAGGTGCTTATTTGCTCCTTGATTTCTCTTCTTTCTGGAACCTGTTAGACTAGTCAGCTGCCTGGTCCCATCCATTTGAAGCTTCCCAAATGCAAACATGTCTTAACTTTCATTTCTTCTGCCTTACTGGCACTGGCAGTAGGAAGGTGGCAAAGGAAGTACTGAGACGATGAACATCAGTTGCAAATAAGATTGGAACACTGTACAGGCCACTGTCACCTGTTTGTAAGAGGCTCCCACCATGTCCCAACAGTGGGAAATCGTTCCTTCTAATGCCTTGAACACGGGCACATGCAATAGTTATTGGATAATAAGTGGTATAATGGATTTGATCTCCTAAATAAGGAAGTATAACTTACAAACATGCAAGCATATCCCCAGAAACTTGTGGAATGCTGGCAAGTTCGTTTTGAGAACAGGTCTGAATACACTGTTATGTTTCATTTGGAAAACTGGCTTTTTGTGTCAACACAAGTAAAGCTAAATAACTTGTACAACCACCTTAAGATTATAGTATTTAAGGTTAAAATATAGAATAATATAGATGTTTAACATACGATCAGATATATCTCACCACCAAAGTATGTTTCTATTTAAAGAAATCTGACCCTGCAGCTCCACATGCAGACTGTATTCTGAATTGAGGGTTAGAGCTTATAAATTTCAGATGAGAAGCGATTGCAGCGATAATTATTAGATGGCACCAGCCGGTGCAGTCACATGAGTGTAGCTCTTGTCCTGATTTTCGTAAAGGATTCTTGTTTTAGAAATGAGATGCCATCAGCGTTTCTAATTTAGCTTTTATATTTCAAATATAGGGCACAGAGGATTGGGTTTTTGTAGACAAAATACCTACTGAGGTAGTTGATGGCGATTTGAAAAAGATTGTGACTTACAAGGTGGTGACCATGAGCAGTAGAACTGGTGACATCCCCGCCGACATGTTACGCTCTAGTACCATTGAAATGCAGAGCTTCGACGACTTGGCCCAGGAAATACAATTGAAAGAAGAAAGCAAACAGAAGATATATGCTCTAGGAAAGTCCTATGATACCGTATCCGGAAAAATCGTGACTATGACGGAGAAAGCTAAGGAGGGAGATAAGGGAGTGCAGCCCTCGGGTCTTGAAGTGTTTCAGAAAATGGAGCCAAGGAAGGTCACCCCCGTCATGACAGAGTACGAGGTTCTGGAAGCCATCGCTGATGAGAAGTCCAAGCGAGGACCCGAGGGCCACACTCCGAAGCGGAGGTTGTCGGAGTCCCTGGCTCCCATCAAGGAGGCCGAGTCCCGGCGGCAGAGTCCCGAGGAAGAAGACCCCAGGAAGGCTCAGGTGCTGGGCGGGGATGCTCTGCGCGTGGGCCTGGAGAGCGTGCGGTGGAGCCAAGCTGAGCACGCCCAGGAGGGGGAGGCCTTGAAAGTGGGGCTCTTTGGACCCCGAAGGAAGAGCCTGTCCGAGTGGAGGTACTCCCAGGAGCCGGCCTTCAGCGTCACCACTGCCCATTACCTTACCGAGTCGGCTGCCTCCCGAGTCGTGGTAACCAGTGCCTTTCGTTCGGCCACCGCCCCCGATGCCAGCATGACCTTTCTGAGGCAGCGCCCTTCCACCCTGAACCTTTCCGTTTATCTTGCTGTTTGGCTTTACATTTAGAGCAGCCAACCCAAGCTTTTTACTTTTGTTCATGGTTCAGTCAGTACCGCAGTCCAGCGAGCATTAAAACACTTTTCGTTTTACTTCCAGCTCCCCGTGCCCGAGATGCGATAGTGCTGCTGTGGCTTGCAATGAAGGGGAAAAAATGATCCGCTTAAACCAGCGCCTCCCTAATCCTAATAACTCTCTCTGCTTTACCCAACAAGAGCTCATGGTCACCTCGATTGGCTATTTTATTTCCCATTCTTTTCCGTTCCCCAAGTCTCTGGTAGATTCCTTCCTCCCTCCTCCCTCTCTCCTCCGCCTCCAGTTGTGTCTCACCAGCTGTGAATGCGCTGTGTGCCTGTATAGGTTCCTGTCTCTGTGCTTGACTCTCCATTTCTTTGTTCACTCAGACTAAGCAGTCTTCTGGTGAAAAGCTCATGGATGGCTCTGAAATCTTCAGTTTATTAGAGTCTGCGAGAAAGCCGACAGAATTCATAGGAGGGGTTACCTCCTCTTCTCAGAGCTGGGTTCAGGTGGCCTTTTGCTTCCATCCTTGGTGTTCTGACTCTGCCTGTTTGCCTTGCTTGCTTTCTTTATGCCTGTTTGCTGTGTGTGTGTGTGTGTGTGTGTGTGTGTGTGTGTGTGTGTGTGTTGCATCCAAGTGGGCTTCGCCTCAAACACCTCAGAGGTGCCCTCAGTTCTTCTCCGTCGTGCCTGCGTGGCGTGCCTGTCATATGCATTTAGTTCCATTACAAGAACATACTTCAGATACTCAAAATGCAATGGTGATGAGAAATTTTAATGGCGTTCATTTTTTTAAACCATTTTATGTCTCCTATGAGGTCCAAGAAAGCAACCCAAAACAATGTGAATGTGCTGCTGCAAAGCTTTTTTTATTCTGTTTGGGTTTTGGTGGTGGTGGTGGTGGTGGTTTATTATTTAAATTGTGTTTTGCACTGCATTTTCTTTCTTTTGCGGATATCCCAAAGTAGCAGCACAGATTCTAATGTGTATGACAGGGCAGAGGGCAGGCATCAAAGATTCTGGTGGGAGGAATGAAGCTAATTTATATTTCCTAAAGTGTTTATGGTTATAAGCACTTCACACTGGCTTTAGGCATCTTGGTGAGTGGCATCGGTTTTTGTTGTTGTTGTGGTTTTTCTTGTTGTTTTTTTACCTTTGGTTCATGGAAAGTCGCATTGACACAATCTTTCCCCATACAGAAAACAGAAACCAAGACAGAGTCCAGCGAAACCGAGACCGAAACAACCCAGCCCCCCCAGCCACTTAGCATGGAGAAGGTTGTTCAGGAAACGGTGGTGGTGGAGGAAAGACGTGTGATGAATGTGCATGCAAGTGGGGATGCTTCTTACGCGGCTGGAGATGACGCAGATGCTGCAGCACAGGCAGCATCTGCTGGTGCTTCTAGCGTTAAAGGGAAGGAGGGCTCTGCTCTGACAGAGGGAGCTAAAGAGGAGAAAGGGGAGGTTGCCGATAAAGCTGTCCTGGAACAGGAAGAAATGGCCACTGCTTCCCATGAGCCAGAGGAGGAGCAGAGTGCCACAATCCACGTTTCTGAAACTCTGGAACAAAAACCTCATTTTGAGGTAACTAGTAGTTCATTTACTTTTAGCACTAAAGTAAACTGATCTGAGTCCTTGAAATTTAGTTAAGCATAAAGATGAAGCTAAGTTTAATTTTCTTTTTCAAGTGCATTTTCTTTCTCCTCTTATTTCTGTCGTGCATGGCAATTATGGGTCTCGTGCAAACATATATAACGATTCTTAATAATATATAGTTCCAGGAAGTGGTTTCTGCTCTCACTGCAATTATTATAATTGGCAGTAAACCTGGGAAGTGCCTGTCCAGCCAGGATATTAGAAAATTTGATAAATTGATTTCTGATCAATGTAATCCTGAAGGACCACAAACCATGCTTGTCCAGGTGCCAAATACCAGAACTTGGTTCTTTATCCTGTTTCCTTGTAATTCTTAAAGTATTGGGAGTAAGGGAGTTATGTCTTATTACTTGTTCCTTCTTTCTAAGAAGATCATATTTTTTAAAAGGCTACTTTATGATTTTTTTATTAAGATTAGTTTATGAGATCAAGGAAGGGGGACAAAAAATAGTTTATTTCCTTCAAAATGTTTTCCTTTACCTGGAACATTCCACATAAAGATGCCATGGAATTCTGGGAGACTGTTGGACATGTGTCTGTGGTGTGCCTCACTTCCCAACTTCCCTAACCTCGTGGAATATGAAAACATTTATTTCACACTAACCTGTGCTTGTATATATCCACCAAGCGGGGAGGGACAAAACCAAAACTGTGTTTGTACAAACTAATGGCCACTCCCCTACTTCCTGTTGGCGCAGTCATCCACTGTGAAGACAGAAACCATCAGTTTTGGCAGTGTGTCGCCAGGAGGAGCAAAGCTTGAAATTTCTACCAAGGAACTGCCAGTCGTTCACACCGAAACCAAAACCATAACATACGAATCCTCAGAGGTAAGAGTCTGGGAAGATCGGAGCCTGGCACTGTTTTATCCCTTTCATGGCTGAGTGTGTTTAAGTGCAACTGCATGATTGTCCATTTGTGGGACTCAGAGGACCAGCAGCCAGACTGTCTCTGTCAAGAGTGATGCAATAATGTTGTTTTAGTACTGATTGTGGGGTAGCAGGCGCCTTAAATAAGTCTTCCTACATCTCAAACAGTAGAAAAAGGCCCAGACATCTATTTCCATAGCCACCGATAAGGAAAAATATTAACCCAACCAGCCACTGCTCTCATTTCTAAAGCCCCAGCTTTATTAATGACTAGAGGCCCAGTGCACTATACACTGGTAGGGTCCCTAGCAGCTGCCAGCCGGGGCCTCCCTCCCTTCCCCCTGCCGGCCCTGCACCCTGGTCGAACTCCCGTACAACTCCCTGTCGAGGGGACAATTTGCATACTATGCTTTTATTATATAGGATGGTGAACTCTGGCCATGTCTGGGTCAGTCTTTACCCATAGTGGCAGCTGCCAGATGCTGATTGAGGTGCACAGTGATTATGGGAGACAACTAAGTCACCATAATGCTCTAAACTAAGCAAACATCTGGAGAGGTAATGTAAATATTTGAGTGTGATATCTTATTCTTTGCTTGCTTAGGTTGATCCTAGTGCTGATTTGGAGCCCGGCGTGCTAATGAGTGCACAGACGATCACATCTGAAACCACCTGTTCCACGACCACCACCCACATCACCAAAGTAAGACCTTCCCTCGGAACTTTTTCTAGGTTTGGCTGCATATGCAAATAGTTATGTGACTCTCAGTATGCCAGGAAAGCTGCATTGGAGCTTTCTCAACTACTATATTTATGGTATATTTGTCCTCCTGGGCTAGTTCTATTCAGGAATATACAGTCTGATAATCTTTGCTTACCTGACACTAATGTTTGGCACATGATAGGTGCTCTAGAAACACTGGCCAGCCAAATCCAAAGGATTCCATTCCATCCTTGTTTCTGAAATTAACAATTTACAATAACTGCCATAGAATTCTGTTTTTAATTCTTAACGGATGGTACTGTAATAACTATGCATGGTGTCACATGGGTACTAGACATATTGGGGTCATAACTTCATAAGCTATATAAATGTCTAATCACTATGTTGTACACCTGGAACTGACATAGCATCCTGTGTCAACTGTAATTGAAAATTAGGGAAAAAAAGAAGGATGTTACTTAAAACTGGGTCAGCATCTTCTGCCATTTCCTCCATTGAACAATGATTATTCCTCCAAGCGGGAAAATTCATAACAGTTGTCTCTTCCTTCCAGACTGTGAAAGGAGGCATTTCAGAGACGAGAATTGAAAAGCGAATAGTCATCACGGGCGATGCAGACATCGACCATGACCAGGTAGTGTGTGTAAGATGGTCAATACCTGTCAGCAGGGCAGAAAAACACTGGTTGGTCCTATTCTTCCCAGTGCTATTCTTCCAGTCCAGCATGTAATCTAAACAATTTTCTGAATTAACTTTCCAATATACAATGTACGATTCTTTTTGCAATCATTGTACCTCATTTGTAAATTGTGTATAAAGATCTAGCTCATGAGTCTCCACCTTGCTACTGATCATGCATGTTCCACCTCCTTTTTGTCTTTGCCCTTCTGTGATTTCCTGGGGATAGGCGCTGGCTCAGGCAATTAAAGAGGCCAAAGAGCAGCACCCTGACATGTCAGTAACCAAAGTAGTGGTCCATAAAGAGACAGAGATCACACCGGAAGATGGAGAGGATTGACCCCAGGTAAGAGGTGACACTGATTCACTTGGCTTGGCCTCGGCTGGCATGTGGCATGAGGCACTTTCCCCTCATCCTTCGCCTGACTCCACCCTTTCCTTTTTTCTCTCACTGGCATTTGCAGGGCTGGCTGGTTACCCAAAGGATGGAGACCTGCTTGGCAGGTGCCTGCTTGTTTCAGATTTGGAGATTCCATCCAGAGGACTTTGCAGACAGTGCCAGCTAGAGGACAAAGGAAAAGCAGGGTCCTTGCTTGCGAGATCTCGCTGGAGTTTGCTTTTAGTCCTTGTCCTATACTCCTTTCATTAGCCAATCTGCAAGGCCAAGTTTGATTTTACTTGCCATGTGACCTGCTCAGAACTAAGGTAGTTTTGTTCTGAAAGGTGCAATATGTGTGTTCCAAATACTAGGGAAATAAAATATACTCCCTATTCCTTTTGATGGCAACATTATCCCATTGTAAGCTTTTTCTTCAACTGTGTTTGGTTATAGCCTGTGTATGCTTTGGTATGCTTTGGTTTATTTTTCATCTGAAGCCTGAGCACTGACTTTCATTTTGGATGTCTTCTGTCTCCTGTATTCTGTGTTGATTTGCCCCCTGGTGGAGCATTGCGTCTCAGGGGGAGGAAAATTCAGTCCTGTGGTCCCGCTTTCCTCCAGGAAGCGCATGCCTTCCCAGCTGCTGTCGGGCCGGCCTCGCAAGCAGACAGCATCCTCTGTGTGTGCGCAGACTTGTCATGCATACTAACCTGCCATGCAAGCATTTGTGGGGCTCTCAGCACCCTAGGGGGCTTTGAATGCTGAATGCAACTGATGAGCTACTTGCACACTTGGCTATGCGATTAAAGTCTCTTAAATGTCTTACATGTATAAATGAAAGAAGTTAGTTCTCTGACTTTGGTTTAAGAAACATAGATTGACAAGAGGCCTCTCTTAAAGAAAAACATAAAAACCACTCAGATTCAAGTTACTAAGTAACTTGAAAGATAGTAATTTGGAAGATAGAAAGCAAAAAATGATTCTCCGCAGAGCTTCAGCCACTTGGATGATGCTGTAGTTACTCAAGACAAAGCAATATCAGTGGCTTACACTGGTATTTTACAACATCTTATCAAAAAGAGCATTGAATAGCCCGGCTAGTGTGGCTCAGTGGTTGAGCATCAACCCAGGAACCAAGAGGTCACTGGTTCAATTCATGGTCAGGGCACATGCCCGTGTTTCGAGCTCAACTCTCAGTGTGGGGCATGCAGGAGGCAACCAATCAATGATGTTTCTCTCTCATCAATATTTCTCTCTCTATCTGTCTCTCTTCCTCTCTCTCTAAAAATCAATAAAAAATACTTTTTTAAAAAAAAAAGAGCATTGAATAACCTGTAAGATACTTTTCTTCTGACTTTGATCTCAGGTGTTTTCAAATGCATAACTGACCAACTCTCTTTTCTACAGGAATAACTTAGCCTGCACAGGAATCCAGTCATGCAAACCATTAGGAAAACCAGAGCCTATATGGAGTTCTTTCTTCTAACCCCACTGACTTGTATCTGCCCGTGGAAACTTTCAATCCAGAAGAACAAACCTTGACCGTTAATTAAAGACACTGGCAGAGAGATCTTCCCATAATAAAGCAATCCGAATCAGCAGCACTAAACTGATATTGCATGAAGCAACGATAAAATTACAAAAGAGCAGCATTTTTAATTTTCACAAAGTGTCTAAGTTTTCAGCTATACCTGCACGTTCATAACCAACAATATAAACCGTGATCTCATGTAACACATAACCAATCCATGCCTTTTATAGTTTATTATCATTAAAGTCTAAACACAATTGCAGTTTCCTAGGTGACAGATCGTTTGTTTACAGATAAATGAAGATTACCCTAAAACGCTAGAAGCTGTCTAGGTCCGTTGTGTCAGGTTTATCCCAGATTAGATGTGCCAATAACCGAGTCCACTCAGTAAACACTTGAATCTTGTACTTGTTTCACCTGGTTTTATTACTCTTAACCCATAAACAGTGACGACTCTCTGATCCTCTGGAGATAGTTAATGCTTCCAGTCCTGCTTTGTGTATCTAATTTAATTCATTATAAGGTAGTACTGATTTTAGCATATTAATGTGATTTCTTCCTTGTCGTCCACTTTGCTCTGCGTTCAATCTTGAAAGATTTCCAGAGTTCCCTATCAGATCCTAAATATGTAAATTGTCATTATTTGGGGAAAAAATATGTATTTTTGTTAGTTCACAATATTCTGAAATTTCACTGTTGGGGTGGTTTGTTTGTTTTTTTCTATCTTCATTTCCGCTTTCTTATATTTTTGAATTGATTTTTCTTCTTTTATTTAAAAAACTTTTATTTCCAAATCTGGTCCATATTTACAACCTAGTTCAGAGCCAAGCCTTAAACTGTACAGAATTTCCACTGTAATTAAGCTATTTACTGTTTAGTTATAAATAGACTTCAAAAAGATATATTCTCCATTACACTGTCTATTGCATCACTCAGCCCATGGTGAATGTATGTTTCTGCATAGCGAAATAAAAATGGTAAATGCATTCTCTGTGTACCAATTTCAGTATTGTATGTGTTTAGCCCAGAGGTAACATTTGCACAACATCAGAGGCTTTATTCATCTGCATTGTAGAGCTAGCCTGTCTTTGTATGATAAAAAGTGTACATATGATGACATAGTGTGTGGACTATTTCAGGTATTGGAGATGGGGAACAAAATCTATAATAATAAAAGCATAATATGCAAATCGACCAAACAGCAGAATGACCTTCCAGATGACCCGCTATGACACGCACTGGTGCCAGGCCAGCCAAAGCGGGTGCGATGCGATTGGTTGGGGGCCCGGCTATCACCCCATGATCGCCCTGCAGAGGGAGGCCCAGGCCACCGGCCAGTGGGGTGATCGATCAATCGGGGGCTTCCACAATTGCCCCAAAGAGGGAGGCCCAGACCACTGACTGGCAGGCTGCAGTGAATAGCCTGGGCCTGCCTCTGCAGGGGCAATGCCCCAGCCGGGTGGGCAGGGCCTACCTTTTGGGGCGATCAATCGTGGGGCTCCTGGACTGTGAGAGGTCACAGGCCGGGCTGAGGGACCCCTCCCCCCGCCAAGTGCATGAATATCGTGCACCAAGCCCCTACTACATATATAAATGGTTGCCTACAAAGGCCTTTTTAAAAAGTACAGAATCTCAATTTCAAAGTTTTGACTTTTTTATAAGAAAAGAAGCTCTGTTACATAACCAGGTTTCTGACTGCCTTTAACCTACCAGAGAGCCACCTCTTGCTCATGTCGGCTCCATGGCTGAACAGGTTACCCACGTGCATTCTACGAAGGCCCATGCAGTGTGTTCCTGCAGCTCATCCGCATCAAACTCCTCGCATGTCAGGGACTAAGAATAAGACTTTTGGTTACCAACTGCCAACCTAGTACTTGCTGGCATTTCCTACCATGTCTTGCTTTACCTAACTTTCTGATTTTTTTAACTCTAAACTTCAAAAAAAAAAAAATTTCCCATGAAATTGTTAGGTTTGATCACATACTTTGGTCCTATTGAAGTTACCAAATTCTTATCATTTATCTCTGAAGGTGTTATCAGCTTGTCCTTACTGTCAACACTGCGTGTTCATTTTAGGAACCAAAGCATCATTTCCATTGTGTTGGAAGCCAATCAAAAAATGTGTTAAGAAAAACTAACACTTTATTGATATGAAATGGTATCCCAAGGACCCTGCACCCAATCTGCTTAGTTTGTGTCCTTCAGGTTGTACCATGTTCACTATTTTAAAACAATACTAGTGTGTGCATGTTTTTCTGTCCTCGGTGGTAAGTGTTCATTTTTATAAACTTACACATTATCAAGGAAGTTGTACATTTTCAGCTTTCTTTCCTTCTCTGTTACTGCTCTTCAGAATTTCCCAGCCTCTACTCGCTGCTGTGAAAGCCTCTCCCAGGTGTTTGTGCATTTGTGACAGCAGAGCCCCGCGTCTAATACCAAAACCTGCAGCTGCTTTCTGTTCCTGTGTAACCAATTACTACAGAAGTAGCAGCTTAAAACAACACAGTTATTGTCTAGGTTCCTGCAGGTCGGTGTCCACATGGTTTTTCTGGGTCCTCTGTCAGGCTGAGGTTGGGGTTGCAACTGGGGAAGATCTTGCGTCTAAGCTTTTTCCAGCCGTTCGCAGAAGGCGTGTCCTCATGGTCATAAGACCCTGGACAGCTTGCTTCTTGAAAGCCAACAACAGAGGGATACAGGGGGGATCTCCCAGCCAGACAGTCTCAGACAACATAATCAGGGGAGCGGCTTCCTACCATCTTTGCCATATTCTGCTGCTCAGAAGCAAGTCATGGGTTCTGCTCACAGCATCAACAAATTTAAATGTTACATTTGGAGGGTAGTCAGGCCCTATCTAGCATTCCCTAGTTCAACAGTTTTAAAGATGAATTCCACTCATAAATAAAACTGGCTTATGCTTATTGCTAAACTCAGGTCATCTCAGAACATTTTTTAGCCGATACTACTGAACGTTTTTTTAGCTTTTACTAATACAGAAAAATGTAACATTGTGGTCGGTGTGGAAAAAAGAGCCTGGATGTTACACTTTAAGAAACTGAAGGATTCCACTTCACTTAGCTATTTGCCTCAATGCTTCTTGATTGGCTCTGAGATTCAGGCCCAGGGCCATAAGAAAACAAGAATTTAGGCTTCTCTCAATGAGCAGAAAAGCAAATTGCAGATCTAAAGGCATATGGTCCAGCCTATTGCTAACCTGCAGTTCCTACTAATCACAGAGGGATCTGAGAAACATTAGCTGTGGAGTTGTCAAGCCTTAAAAAATCTAGCCTCCCTCCAGGTAAATGCTGCCTGCTCGAAGGCGCCGAGAGCTCAGCCCGGGTGGTCACATCCTGCTCCTTCTGCACCATTGGGATTAATGGGCAGAATCGCAGTGACGCTGAAACACCCATCACCCAGAGAGAGAAATGAGGACACAGAATGTGGGAATTTCATACAGTTTGACTTGCCTGGAACAATCTTCCACCCCCGCCTACTCTATTCCTTTGAAATGTCACAGCCTTCTTGGGTACAGTGAGTGAGAGCGTGCACCTTGGGGACTGCTCAGCCCATTTTTCTTTAAAAACTGCTATAATCCATTTACTTCATTATGTCAACTTTCTAGCACATTTATTACACAATTTGTCAACCCTAGCTATTTTTTAAAAAAATCAACATGGAGTCTGGCCAGTGTGGCTCAGTGATTGAGCCTCATCCTATGAACCAGGAGATCATGGTTTGATTACCACTCAGGGCACAGGCCCAGGTTGCAGGTTCAATCCCCAGTGTGGGACGTTCAGGAGGCAGCCAATTAATGATTCATCATTATGTTTCTACCTCTTCCTCTCTGAAATCAATAAAAATATATTTTAAAAAATAACACGGAGTCTAGAACATGGATCCAAAATTGCTTATAAAGCATGGTTATGTATTCCCTTTTAAATGCTTTTTTAGCCCTAACCGGTTTGGCTCAGTGGATAGAGCATTGGCCTGTGGACTCATGGGTCCCAGGTTCGATTCTGGTGAAGGGCATGTACCTTGACTGCGGGCACATCCCCAGTAGGGGGCGTGCGGGAGGCAGCTGATCTACGCTTCTCGCTCATCAGTGTTTCTAACTATCCCTCTCCCTTCCTCTCTGTAAAAAATCAATAAAATATATTTTAAAAATAAATAATTAAATGCCTCTCTCACTACCATATAAGAAGTGTCAGCCTTCAATCACCATAGAGGTGGCCTTGTGTTTTAATAGGCATTTTACTAAGTAAAATTGGATTATTCCATTTTATTAAAAGTATATTTTTGTGGCAGGCCATTGTGTTCTCAGAAATGACATTTCATTTTGACAGTTTCTTATCAGAGCTGTTTAACTCCTAGGACAGTTGACAGAAGGCAGTAAGGACCCCCTTGAGTGTGGTTACTAACACATGTAGACACACACACACACACACCTCACGATTCTTTCAGATAAATGTAATATTTAGAGATTGGCCAGGTTCTTGTATTGCAAGCTTAAGAAAAAGCTTATCAGCCAAGATAATATATGCATTTTAGGGTACCCCATGCAATGCGGAGGCACCAGATATTTTTTTGGCTGAATTTCAGGCTTACTCATTCTCCTTAGATAATACTGAAATCCAGTCCCTGAAGACAAGTGATGATAAAGAAATGCACATTTTGAGGCAGCAGTAGTTACCAACAATCAATTGGCAAAAACATCATTTGAATTGAAAGCTTTGGTGAGGGTACAAAGAAGAAGCCACTCAAACACACTTCTGATGGGAGTGTAAATTGGTAATTTATAAATAGATAAGTAGATTGATAAAGACATTCTTAAACTGTCTATAATCCGTTTGACTCAACAAATCCACTTGTGGGAATTGTTCCTTAACAAGACACATAAATCTATAGGAATTAATATACAAGGATGTTTTGCTCTGTGTTACTCATGAAAACAAAAAGTTTAAATGGTAATTATTCAGCAAAATGGGAAATTTTAAAATCACTTATGGTACGTATATAAGATAGAATACTATGCAATCAGTGAAAGTTAAAATGGAGGAAAGTTAAAATGGAGGTGCAAAACTGGAGAAAATGTCCACTGTGATACTAACTAGTGAAAATGCTTATCTGCAGGGAAAATGCCTGGGAGGATGTATACCCACGTGGGAGCAGTGATCTCTCTGGCAGAAGAGCATATGACTTCTTTCTTCTTGGTGCTGTTCTGTCTTAAAACGTTTCTTTCCATGTTTATCGCCATTATTATATTTTTTAAAAGACAATAGGGAATAATACCAGTAATTTTATCTGGCAACTGAGAATAATGGAGAGTAAGAGAGAAGTAAATGAGAAGAAATTTGAAAACTGACTTTTCAAAGCCATTATGATAACCACCAAATATTACAAACGCCTTG